GCTGTTAAAACCCCTTTCAGGTGAAGAAATTTAAAGAAGGATGGTTTTACCCTGTGGATCAGAACCTCAAATTTGTTATGGATATCATTTTTTTTTCTCTTCTTGTAATCATTATCTGACTGATGTTACATCATTACATAAACAATAATTTCTATGTACGCTTCAGATATTTATCTACATCTTTTATTTTAATCCGCTGCACTATTTAATTTAATTACTTGGAATTAATATAAGAAATTTTAGAATTAGCTAGTTGCGAATCCAGCCCTGGTTACTTGGATGGGTCGTGACAGGAAAAATTGTCTTTTAGAAAATTTACCTTTATGCCGTTGACACACCAAAATCGTCAAACAGCATCGCACTGCAATGAAACTTGGCACGCATGACCTCTGAGGCACATATGAATTGTGGGAGAAGACGAAACTCAAAAATGATTCCCGATTTGTGAGATAGAGCACAATTCTCGTCAAGAAAATTAATAAATTATTAATAAATTAGTCATACATCATTCCCATAGACAGATGAAACAAAAGTGGGACTTAGCACAATGTATTATACCAAAAAGAAAATAGGTTTTAAAAGCTTGAACCACAAAAACTCGACTTCTTAAAAAGAACCTCCCCAGGAGGTACAGTGGCTGGCTGGCCCAACTCTCCAAGCAACAACTTAGGCTTGGTCACACGCCTGTTCACCTACATACATATTATAAACAATGAGCGAAAGCCTAGTGAATAGTAATAGAGCAAAGGTTTAAATGAATGATGTCCCACCAAATTCAGAAAAATAGAAACAGATTCATATTCACATTCTTGTTTGAATCATATATAGAAATCAGAATTAATGCTTGTTCATGTGTGATATATCCATTAGCGCAATAGATCAAATACAGAGCATTAAGGGTCATACTTGTCAGTTCCATAAAGAAACCTCCAGTACTGGGAACAGATAACATACTTGTTAGTTCTATGAAGTAACCTCCAGTACTAGGAGCAGATAACATACTTGTCAGTTCTATGAAGGAACCTCCAGTACTGGGAACAAATAACATACTTGTCAGTTCCATGAAGGAACCTCTAGTACTGGAAACAGATAACATACTTGTCAGTTCCATGAAGGAACCTCCAGTACTGGGAACAGATAACATACTTGTCAGTTCCATAAAGGAACCTCCAGTACTGGGAACAGATAACATAGTTGTGCCATGGAAATATTGCCACAAATACTTTTCAATATATGGACTTTCATTCATTATACAAAATGTAATTGTTCTATAAAACAGATCTTATTGCATCATATAGAAAATAAATAACATAGCTTTACTAAGTTATTACTCACAGATGACTCCAAAGTAAACAACAGAGCAGACAAATCAAGTAACTTGTGGCGCGTGACCTACACAGATACAGAACGAATACGTACTGAATTACACACCCAGAATTATTAACTTAGTTCTTTCTTCTTTAGGTGTGTTTCTACTTCTTGTCCTTATTATTACGTCTTAACTAGAGCTTAGGAATGCCTAGGATGTGATGAGGATGTCAAAACATGCTATTCAACACTTAGATAAATTTACTGAAAAACAGATTGCCAAATATGTGAGTGGTCGTCGCTCGAGCGTAACTTCCTTTCCTTGAGCGGTCTCTAAATTTTGCAAAAGTACTGGTTGTGTAAATTTTTCGCTTGATGGCCGCTCGATGGTCGCTCGAGTGTGTGACTGAGGTTTTCGCTCGAGCGCAACTCTTGTTGCTCAAATGATCTGGAAAATATGTCAACTTCTGGGATCATGCAATTTACGTTCGAGCCAACTTTTGGTCGCTTGAGCAAGGGTGCAAAACACAGAGTGGTCGCTCGAGCGCAAGATTTGTCGCTTGAGTGGGGAGGTCGAGTTCTAGAATTTCCAAATTCACCTCCGAGCTTCAAAACCCATCTTTAGCCTTTCAAAACACATCTTTTGGTCCCAAAACTTGAGAAAACAAGTCTAAACTTGGAAAAATATAAGGAATTAAATATCATTTCATGAAATCAAGGTCCAGAAGCATGTTATTTATACAAACTCAAGCTTGAAATATGAAAACATAACATGAACATGACATGCTTGAAATGATTTGAGCTCCAAGTTTCCAAATCATGAGCAAATGAGGTGTTTAGGTCAAAAACATGTTATTCTTTGAATAAAACCAAGATATGGACATGCATGTGAAAATTCTTCAAACTCTAACTCTAAATGCAAGAGAATTTGCATGCATGTATGAAATTCATCTTCTTAAGCTCAATTCTCATGTTAATTCATCCAGCACACTTGATTTCATGTAATAACTAACTAAATTACAAACTAAGAGGTATAAATTCTTACCTTAGAAGCTTAATTGTGTTTTAGATGTCCAAATGGTCGAGTCTCTTAGTTCAACACCTTGGATTTCTAGTAATTCTCCTTTTTCCCTTGTTAATCTCACTTGCTCTCTTGGTCTCTCTCTCGCTCTTTCCACGTTTGAGTCCAAAAGATGAGAAATGAAAGTGTAACCAATAGCCTTAAGTCATCAAATTGCCTTATATAGGCTTAGTTTAAGAAGTTTAATTAACAACTAATTAATTGGCATTATTATATTCTAATCATTTGGTTCCGAATTGAATTTCAATTAAACTTATCATAAAATTCTAAAAATTCCAACTAACACATATACTAAGTCAATTTCATAGTCAGATACCAATAAGGCCTTCAATTCGCATAATATAATAGAACCTCAAATAGATATTTTTACGATAAACAGATAGAAATACAAATAATGCAACACATATGCACTTAATTCAGAATTTCATTTTAATTACTTATTATGCATACTTAATCATGGCTTGTTCATGGTTCAACAGTTAATTATGGGTCGGAGTTGTTATAGAGAAATTACAAATGGGTCACAATGGTCGAGAGTTGTTGGTATTGGGATTGTAGAAGAGGAGAAGTGCTTGGGTGTGCACAAGGGATGGATTGAAAGAGAGTAAGATGGGAAAGGGTAGGGAAGACTAAGAATGGGCTGAAGGTGACTAGGGAAAATCTAGGGAGGTTGCAAATGAATTAGAGGTAGCAATAAAAGTTAGATTCGGGTTTGGGAGTGATAGTTGGAATTGGTAGTGATAGTTGGGATGATACATGATTATAATAGTTAGGGTTATTTGAAGGCTTTACTAGGGATCCCAATAAGGAACTTTCATTCTAGTAGAAGTTTTCTTGGTGGTTATATAATGTCTCAATGCTTTTTTTTCCTTCTTCCATTGGACCAATGACTCTCGAAGTATAATTAAAATTTTATGCATTTATTGCATAGGTAGGGTTCGAAGAATAAGAAATTGGGTACTGTTAGTAGTAATGACTCTCATATATATCATTATTCTTTGTATTCATTTTAGATACATGGACCTTATTTAGAAACTTGATTATTTTAGTTGATTTTTTGTTTTTTTGATTTTTTTTAACCTGGTTAAAAAAGGTTTTGTTTGAGATGATTTTTATTTATTTTTTAGTTGATTTAATAGCTGTGAGAGAAAAAATAAAATTATTATGGTTTTGATATAACATTTTATTTTATTAACTATTTTAATTTTAATTTTAATTTTTTTTTTATCTTTATTGATTATTTTAACCAAAAACTTGCATCCCAAATACCTTCATAATGCTGATTCAAACTGTTCAACTTCTAAGCCCATAAGTAAAAATGAGTTGTGCAAAAAAATTAATTTTATTGAACATTACTAAACAGATAAATAAATTATATTTTAGTTTTTAAAATAGGCAACAATTATAAATTCAAACTTAAATAATTTATCTTATATAAAAAAAGATAATTTATTTATTGATATCTTATATAAAAAAAGATAATTTATTTATTGATATATGATAAAGTTAATTTCTTATACATTCAATCTTTATTGTAAAATTTACGAGATGATCTGATGGGTCAAAAAAAGACTTTCCAAGAATGAAATATGGAGGAGTATAGAAAGGTAAATTACTAACAAGTTCGTCTTAAAATAATCATTGCTAAAAAAGACTGTTTTAACAATTTTCAAAATTTATCGCTAAAAATTTACAGTTAGATATTTTTAGTGATAAATTTTTTAAATTATCATTAAAAATTAAAAATTATTAATTTTTTTAAATAAAAATATCGTTAATTATTAAAATCCCTAAATAATAATTAACTTGTTTGATTTTGATTTTCAGAAAATACTTTTCAGAATTTTACTTTTGTATTTCCCATTTTTTTTTTGTTTTCAATGAATTTTTAAAAATATTTTAAGCAATTTTTTTTTTAATTTTTAGACACATCTAACATAAATATGTTTAAAAAAATATAATATTTGTGAATTTTTTTTTAAATTCACTAAATACTAAAAATAAAAAAATACGAAAATTTAATATATTTCTCATGTTTTTGTATATTTATTAATTTTTTAAAATATTTTTTCATAAATATTTTAATATTTAGATACATTTAAATAAAACAACAATGCTAGGTACCTCAAAATTTTGTGGCTCAAATGGCTCAAATCTTTATTATTTTTTTATAAATATTTTATATTTTAAATACTTCTAAATAAAATATATCTAAAAAAATAAAAAAAAATTATTTAAAATTTTAAAAATATTCATTAAAATAAAAAAATATGAAAAAAAAAACAATTTAATTGAAACAATTGCACGGAATAATTCCACTCTGTAGACAGTAGTGGTGTTTAGAAAGATCTCTTGATTTTTTTTTTTTAACTTTTTAGTGACTTTTTTTTAATTAAGGCTTGGTTTGATATGGTTTAAAAAAGTTAAAAAATTACTATCCTATTTTAATTACATCATCTTATTTAAATCATATCATTTTAAACCTAATTTATATTTTATAAAAAATCAAAAAATATACTTATTTACATCATTCTAAACCGCCTATAAAATAACTAATTTTTTTTGTGTAAAAAAATTAAAAGTCAAAAAAATCGCATTTTTTAGCAACTTCATAGAAAGCAATAAGTAATGGGTGGGAGAGATTCGGGCTTCTAGTTGCTTCCTGAGCTGCAACGCGCGAAGGCTATATAGAACCGATCGTGGGCAAGTCTTTGAAACCCTAGAGCAAAGCAAATCGAAGTAAAAGAACTAAGGAAGCTGATATGGTGGGGACGAATTTGAAATCTGAAACAATGTCTCTGATGGACAAACGAAGTGCTTTGGAGTCCGAGATGAACGTCATCATCGACCGCCTCTGTCAGCCCGGCGGCCCCGGTCTCTCCGGCAACCTCATTGATTCCGAGGCAATCTCTATCTCTCCCCTTCAATCTTCACTATATACACACACACACACACTTGTTCATTCTTTTATGAGTTGGGTTTTTGAATTGAGCTGTGTTTGTCTGCTCAGAAGTTGAGGGAAAATGGAAAACTAACATGGGTTTCCAACAGTATTGTTTGATTGCCAACCAATGCGTGTAGTTTAGTGATTCCGAGGCAATCTATGCCTCTCTCTCCAATCTGCACTATATATAGACATGTTTAGGTGTGTGTATGTGTTTGTTCATTCTTTTATGAATTGGGTTTTCGAATTTAGCTGTGTTTGGATGCTGAGAAATTGAGGGAAAAGGGAAATCAAATATGGGTTTCAATTCAGCAATATTGTTTGATTGGCAACCAACAATTGCGTGTAGTTTAGTGATTCCGAGGCAATTTATACCTCTCCCTCCAATCTTCACTATATATATGCATGTTTATGTGTGAATGTGTGTTTGCTTATTCTTTTATGAATGGGGTTTTAGATTTTAGTTGTGTTTGGCTGCTGAGAAATTGAGGGAAAAGGAAAAGCTGACATGGCTTTCAACAGTATTGTTTGATTGGCAATCAACAAATGCGTGTAGTTTAGTGATTTGGAGGCAATATATACCTGTCCCTCCAATCTTCACTCTATATCTACGGCTACGTTCATTCTTTTATGAATTGGGTTTTTGAATAGACCTGTGTTTGGCTGCTGCTGAGAAATGGAGGGAAAAGGGAAAGCTAACGCGAGTTTTCAACAGTATTGTTTGATTGGCAATCAACAAATGTGTGTAGTTTAGTGATTCCAAGGCAATCTATACCTCTCCCTCCATTGTTCACTATATATATACATATTAATGAGTACATATGTGTTTGTTCATTTTTTATGAATTGGGTTTTCGAATTGAGCTGTGCTTGGCCGCTGAGAAATTGAGGGAAAAGGGAAAGCTAACATGAATTTTCAACTGTATTCTTTGATTTGAAACAAGCGAATGCATGTAGTTTAGAGATTACTGCTTGTGATGACATAAGTTGATGATTTGCTTTTTTTACAGGGATTTCCTAGGGCAGATATTGACATTCCAGTGGTTCGAGCAGACCGGCATCATCTTGCTGGTGCGTTTTTGTACTGCCTGTCATCATATGATAGATGTGTATTGCACTTAATTTGGTATGCATGGGTTAAAGTGCATGTTTGTATCTGTTAAACATGTCATTTTGAAGGAAACTTGTGTATGGATATCTGGTCAAGTTCAATTGTAATGTATCTTTTAGTTACAGGCGTAATTGCTCATCTGCACAATTACAATCCTCCATCTTTTGTCAGGGTTACATTTGCGTCCAAGAATTAGCCTATTACCTGAACTCCTGAAGCTGTTTGTTGTTTTCTAAAAAGTTTGACTGAAAGTTGTTCAATACCATTCTATGCATCCATGTTTGTGTTTTATAGAATTTACATATATATATATTATTGCTATTATTTTTTTAAAATTACACTCATATTGTTGTTTAAATGGATATATGGAAACCGTTGTAGGTATTTTCAACTTATTTTAGATATTGAACACTCATACTAATAAAATTATATGAATGTTAGAAGAAAATGGATATTTCGTCCCTGTTACACAAGTGACAAGTCACACTTCTTGTTCAATTCTCTCTTGCGATCAAATGCAAAACCTACCTATGGGACTTTGTTCCCTATTCATATATGTAATTGTTGCGCTGACTTGTAGCTGAAATCCGACGAGCCATATTTCTCCAGTTTTGGGTTCATGAAACCATTTGATGCCTTGCAAATTATATAATATATTCAAAAGGGTTAGTTATACAGACCTCCCCTGAAGTTTATGAAATTACACTGACTTCCTTTACTTTAGTTGACAATGTTCACAGACCTTCCCTCTGTTAACTTTGCCCATAACGACGTTAAACATTGCCATGAAATGACAAAAATACCCTTTAGTTAAAAAACACAAACAAAAAAACTTGAATCTAACCTTAACTCCTATAACCAAACATACACTTCTACATTTGCCTCTTTTCAATTCTTGTAACATAACAACTTTAATCCAAACATCTCGCCTAGCTATCTTTGCAACCAAGCTCACCCATTAGTTATCTTTGCAACCAAACTCACCCATCCCCATTATTTTTCATATCTCTTCTCTATCTAAAACCATTGTTGCCATGGATCCCTAGCCCCCAAGAAATTTCACTATAACCATTGAACTCCAAGGCTAGAGCATCATCATCAGCCGCCATTGCTTCACCAATCGAACACAACCACTAGACTTGTTGTGTCAGATCGAGAGATGGCGGTGGCCATAAGAAAAAGAGGATGTGGTAGTTGGATTTATTGTATTGATTGAGAGGTTGTGGTGGTTGCTAGCAAAAGAGGGGATGGTGGCCGAACTCATTGTATCAATTCAAGAGGCGGTGGCAACAAGCAAAAGAGGTTGTGGTGGCCAGACTTGTCATGTTAGATTTGAGAGGCTGTGGTCGTCATTAGATGACTCCGTAAAACACCACCATCGTCTCCAAACACCATAGATTAGATTTGCCCTCTTCTCTCTCTTTTTTCTTTTTTTAATTTTTAATTTTTTTTTTTACTCTGGCTTGTTTTGGCAAGTAGCTAAAATAGCCAAAAGGCCAAAAAGTCATTACAAAAAAAGTCAACTCTTCTCTCTACTTTTCTACATGTCTTTGTAAAAAGTCTATAAGCAAACTAAAATATCTAGTTCCCAAAACAACCTTCTATAAAAAACTATCATTGCCTCCTCCAAACACCATCGTTGAAGCCATGGATTAGATCTCCATCGAACAATGATACAATGGGAAGTTTCTACCTACTGTGAGACTCACAAACTTAATTGTAATATTAATGTTTGTAGATATATTTATATACATGTGCCACTGGATGATCCTTAATGATAAATTATTTAAAACAAAATAAATTTAACTATTGATTCTGGATGATGGGTAGTATTCTGGTTCGGTGTTGGTGAATAAGGGAAATAATAAAGGGAAAGATAGTGTTGGGTTATAGGATAGGTTCTGTATAGAGTTTGGTTATAGTTATAGGTTTGGTGAGGGATGTTTGGTTATGAGTGAGGATTTTGACATTTGTTAAAGGCAATTTTGATACTTTAATATTTAAATTTGCTGACATCATTGTATTTGGTTAGGACTTTTAATGGTCGAGTAATAGAAGGGTGGTAAGTGTATGTTGTCAAGTAAACTAAGGGAAGGCAATGTAATTTCAGAAGCCAGAGGGGAGGTCGGTGTAATTGTCAGAAACCTCAAGGGAGGTCCATGTAATCAACCCTATTTAAAATATGTGGTTATGAACACATGCTGTTTTATGCAACCATGTATGCTTGACCAACCTTCTGTGTCAAGAATAGTGTGTACTGATCTTTACATCAAATCATTTTTTTGATAAACTAACAAAATTTAAGGGTTAGTTAATTTTATTATAAATTCTAATTAAAATATCTAATTGATGATTTCATTGATCATTATTTGTCATGGAATAAGAACATTGCATGATTATTCATCATTGTTCCTTCTGTCCCTTGGATTTCTTTGACTATCTGGGCATGTCATTGGATTGTCAGTGAAAATAAGGTTCTTGTCTGCAGATAGTTATAACGTAACATGTCAGGAAGAATTCTCATAGTTCAAATTTAACTTTTATGGATAAAAGTTGCATTTTCTTGTATAAAGAATCTAATGACTAGTGACCAAAATACTTTTCAATATGTCCATATCATTATTTCTTGTTACTGCTATTATGTTAACTACAGCTTATGTTAGTAGTTAGTAAGTCGTTATCATCTTTAATTTTTTTTAGCCTTGTTTGTTTGTTCAATTCTCTCTTGCTTCAGAGCTACGGAGTGATCACAAAGACATCACCGAGCAAATAAATCAAAATATACAACTTCTGCATTCAGCAAGGCTGGTTTCTAAATCTTCGCCCCCCATTGATTCAGGTAGGCAGCAGAAATCAATGTAATCTTTTATTTGTTCATTAGGTGGAAATATTTGAAGTTTGATCATTTATGTAATGACTTATCTTGGGGAACTTTTCTTTTGCTGTGCTTCAGAAGGTATTTTCTTTATTTCTTCCCAAATCATTTTTAATAAATTTGAGCATATGTAATTGTGTGCAACAACAACATATTTCTCCAATCAATAAATAATTTTCTACTTTACATAAGAAAAATGAATCTCTGAAATCTTTTGTGGACCTTGCGGATTGTACTAGAGATAATCTTTTGTTGAATTTTGTGTCATCTACTTTTTAATGCAAATAACTACTTATGTAGTTCAAACTTCAAATATATTAGCTGCAGTGAATCTTACAATGAAGTTGGTTGAGTTCATTTGTAACCTTCTATTGCTTTAGATGCAGTTCATGTTTACAACTGCAAGTCACATTTATGTGAAGTGTTTTTTTCCCCTTCCCTAAACTGTTGATAGATTAAGTTGTAGATAGCCAACTGGTTTGAGGTAATTGTCTCTTGGTGCTAGACTGTCAAGGTTACTTTGCGATTGAATATGGATAAGCCTTGATTGCCCTACAACCTCTTAAGTACCTTCCATCTTGCCACCATCCAACACAAACGCGTGCGCGTGCACACACACACACATTGTATTAGTAGCTCCTTCATCTTCACTGAAAATATTTGTGACCGGCCCCGTAGGAGCCACATCATCTCCCATTATGGGGTCTTCACTCTCCATGTGGTAAACCCTCGGAATGCCTTGATATATTACGTAATTCGTTAGGGTTATTTGCCTAGCCTAAGCAGGGGTTTATCAATCAACAAATGTGGTAGATTGGTGCACTAGTGCGCTCGATGCCTAACTGCAGCCCTAAACAAGAAGTTACTGAGTCAAAATATGGGGAGCTCCGAGCATTGCTGAGTGACCTAGCGATCCTCACCCTCACCCATGCTCTTGCCCATGCCTAGTTCGCGGAGCCAAGCCACCCTCGCCCCTAACCATGCTCACTTGGTGAGCCATGGTTCAAGACCATATAGCTTGGCTAGGACGAGTTCTTGCCTAGCCATAGCCATAGCCACTCATGTTCGGTAGCAATATGGTTCGACTCTTAGCTTCTCCATGTTTTTCGTATTGGACACCTAGCACTTCGACAAGGATAAGGGTGTGAGATATGTGTTTGATAATTTTCATCTGACACTTCTTATATATTTGTATTTAGCACTATCATTATGTATATTGTTGTATAATTGTTATAAAATGAGTAAAATGCCTTTTTGATGACATTATTTTATCTGACATAGTAGATTAAAAATATAAAAAAATGAGTGTATCCTTAAATTTGAAGTTTGAAGGGTTCGATCTCTGGATACGCACTTGCACCCGAAACCAATACTCGAGTCCATATAACATAGCCTACAATGTCCTAGCTAGGACTTCTATATAACACCATCTCTATTGCCATTATTTTGACATCCTAGGCTCTCGGAGCAGGGCCTAGGTATAGTTTACAACCATTGTTTTTCAATGAATAAATTCCTTCTATAGCAACAATTTGATATTTGAAATGAGTGGAATGATATAGTGTTCTTGAGTCAAGTTTTGAAATACTTGATCATTACAGTCTTTAGAAAGGATTTTTTTTTTTTTTTTTTGGATATGTAGTTAAAATTTGAATTTTATATGCAACTAATTGACTGTTTTTCTTCTTTATATTTGTAAGGTAATCTTGAAGGGTCAAATAATCAAGACTTATCTGTTAATGTTGGTACATCTGCATCCTCCCACAATGTACTTCATGGAAATACTATCAGTGCCATGGATGTTGATGTAACTGTCAACAGACCATTTGCATTGGTTGATGAGATATCCGAGGCTTCTCCAGCAGCTGAAGATGGCTTACAACTTGGAGATCAAATTGTGAAATTTGGGAATGTGGAATCTGGTGATGATTTGTTGCCAAAACTTGCTTCTGAAGCTCTGTCCAATCAAGATCGTGAAATACCTGTAGTGGTTTTGAGGCAAGGTGCATTTATCAACTTAACAGTCACACCTAGAGCGTGGCAGGGCCGTGGCTTGCTGGGGTATGTTTGTCATTCCACTTTTGCAGTGCCCCCTTTTTTGTTTAGATTATCCATCAAACCTTTTATACTGTCATTTCTAGCTGCATTTTGTTTGAAAATATTTAGTATTTGCTGGTTGATTCTCACAATTATCATATGTTCTCTTTAACCTTTCTGTTGTGAGATATAAGATACATATTGTCCAAGTAGATACCATTATTCCAAAATCTAGCCCCCTTATCCCTTCCAAATTTGAGAAAAGGCACTTGCAAGATGAGTATATTTTGATGACAATGTTATTGTGAATAATTACTTCCGTTGAAGCCTCTAAAGGTTGACTCTTTTAATGTTTCTTGGAATATATGGTTTCTGCCCATGAGGAGCAAGTTCAATGGGGATGTTCAAACAAATTGTACGCTAATAATTCTTATAATTATTTTCTACATTATTAATCCTTGAGTTTAGGCCAAAGCAACCTTAAGTGGAACAGTTGACACAACAGAGCTTTTATGTGTTAAATTTATTAGCCACCTTCACTTTCAACCTTTACACATTCTTCTCTCTCTCTCTCTCTCTCTCTCCAATGTTTTCAAACCCGGACCGGACTGGTAGAACTGGTGACTGGACCTAGTTCCCGTCCAGCTGACCCTTCAAACCTGAACTATGCTCAAAACCGGCTTAGAATTTGAAAACCGAAAGAACCGCCGGTTCAATCGGAATAACCGGCGAACCGGTCACAGGTTGACATACGAACCAGCCGGGTTTGAAGAATTGAAGTTTCTTCAAAAAATATGTTGCGGAGAAGGCTTGAACATGGAACAAATGCATAAAAAACAAATACTCAAACCAATAAGCCATCAACAGAATTGTTGATAATGTAATAAGTATATATATATTCAATATTATCTTAATTATTTTTACTAAAAATCAATGTATAAAAAACGTAAAATAAATTTAAAGAAATATTTTTTTTTTGTAATTGTTTATTATTTATTATTTTTTTTATAATTTTAATATCTATATTTTTTGTACTTATAAATATATTTATGACATAATTATGACATGAGAGTTCAATTCCGGTTCATCCGCAGTTGAACCAGTGACCTATCTCCTTGATCACTTTTTTTAGTTTGCTTACCTGTCCTGTTTTCAAAACATTCTCTCTCTCTCTCTCTCTCCTGTTTTATTTTTTCAGCTCATATGGTGTTTGTAACTCTGCAAGTAAAATCACCAGCAAATGCTTTGGATTATTTCCAACAAAATTAATTACTTCAAAAGCTCTCCTACTTTATTTCTCAACCATTTTCTAGTGCTTATAAACTTGCTGTTTCTTCGAATGCGCCTTGTGGCTATTTCTCTCCTTGGTTTGGTCTGTGTCTGCATGATAACAGGATCAAATATATATATTTTTGTCATGGTTAATATTATAGTACTATTAATTGTCAATTTATGTGGATTACTTTCAGATGTCATTTCCGAATCCTATGATCATTTACATGGTGCTTTGATGAATAGTGATGCTTCGGTTAGGCCAGCCAGAAGACAATGCTCCAGTAGATGTGTTCTGAACTTTCACTCTCCCCTTTGCCAGTCCATAGGGGTAAAAGGATGGTTACTGTCTTTTAAACTACTTCACATATTTGGATTTTGTATGTAGCATGTGTGAAACTTCCATTTTGCTTCATTCCTTCGTGAATTCTCATAACCTCTTTAGTGCTTGCGGACATATCTGAAGGAAGATGTATGGATCTATTTTAATTTACTAAGCATATTTGTGTTTGAACTTTCAACTCAAAAATCTAATGGTTACCAATGAATATAAACAAAAAGGAAGCATTCTAGAAAGGTTGAGGGGCTCATGGGGCTCACCACATGTCCGTTTTGGTGATCGAAACACTTCATTTTGTAGGACTTGTAATGTATATCATCTATGAAAAAAATTAAATCGATTTAATAATTGTAATTTTTTATTTTATTATATTTGTTTATGAATAGAATGGCTGATCTATTTTAAAAAGAATATTTGTCTATTTTTTCAGAGACTTAAGCAATAAAATAAAAAAGGTTATAATTATTAGATTATTTGAATTATTTTTTTATAAATATGCATTGAGGAGGGACAAAGTAGATCAAGAAATGAGGGGCCAATGGATCCTGCTGTGGTGTTGGGTTTTTGTTTTGATAATCTAAACAGTTCATGTTGTAATATTTGTTGAGTAGATAATCTATACAAAATATCAAAATAATTGAACATCTGTAGTTTCGTAATTAGAGCACATTTGTTTTTAAAAAATAAATGATTAACATGATCTTGATATTTTTTTTTTAAAAAATAATTAGAATATGATTATAGGGTAGAATTGCGAATAATTTGATCTTTTACCTGAATAATATACTTCTAGATTATTGAAAAGATTTTGAAAAACGTCTCTACTAGGACACCATAGCTGGATACCCTAATCCAAAAATAAGAGGGCATGGTTTAAATCAGAAACAAAGTTGGAAAATTTGTTACTTTTGTATTGGTAAGATTTTAGTCTATTTGTAAGGTTTGGAAAATGTTTCCATCTTTATCAAATAAAATATATTTTTGTTCTAAATTAGCTAATGTTGGGTTGATTGTGAATTTATTTATTTTATTGCATCAAACATCAGAAAATAGTGAAAGTGTTTTCAGTGTTAATATTCCCTTTGCATTTTATGTTTTAGGGTTCTATCAACAAAATTGGTTGTACTTTCCAGCAACCTTGCAACTACTAATTTATAACTCAGTCCCGTTAGGTAGTCCGAATCTTCCAAGGCTCGAATGGCTCGAGGTGCCAAAATGACGTCGTTTTGGCACCCCTTTTTTTTTCTGTATCAGTTCTTCCTTAGTTTTTTTTCTTTACTTTTCGTCTTCCACAGAATAAAAAAAAAAGAAGAGAGAAGAGGAAGGATATTCAGCAGACGGAGAGGAGAGGAAGGATACTCAATTTATACATAGTCCCAAAAAAGAGAGGAGAGAAAGGATATTAAGCAATTCAACTTTTGATGAACTACATATATATATATATATATATTTCCTTTTCTTCTTCCACAGATACTTTTCGTCTTCCACAGAATAAAAAAAGAGAGAGAGAGAGAAGAGGAAGGATATTCAGCAGACGGAGAGGAGAGGAAGGATACTCAATTTATACATAGTCCCAAAAAAGAGAGAGGAGAGGAAGGATATTCAGCAGTTCAACCTCTGATGAACTGCATATATATATATATATATTTCCTTTTCTTCTTCCATAGAATCAATAAAAGAGAGGAGAGGAAAAAAACAAAAAAAAATCAAACAACAAAAATCAAACCCAATACAAATCAACCCCAAAAATCCTACAAATCAAACCCAAAAATCCAATCAGAAATCAAACCCACAAATCAAACCAAAAATCAAACCCACAAATTAAACCTAAAAATCAATACACAGAACAAAGAGAGATAGAGAGAGATACAGATCAATAGATCTGTGTGTAGAGGATGGTCGGTGATGGCGAGGATGGCTGGTGGTGGCGTCGGTCGGTGATGCTTCTCTCTTCCTTTCCTCTCCCTTTCTCTCTCCTTCTCTCTTCCTTTCTCTTATCTCTTTCTCTCTTCCTCCCTCTGCTTCACAGACAAAAGAGAAGAGAGAACAAAAAAAAATAAAAAATGACGTTTTGATTTTCGAGCCAATTCGAGCCAACGGGATTTCAAGCCCTCAAACATTTTTGTTTATAACTAATGTTTTCACTTGCATGAATTTTATTTGATAAATGTACACCATACAATTTGACAAAAACTTTAAAATGTGTACAACAAAAACATGTGTGTAGGATCAGAAGTCAAATTTAAAATGTGTACAACAAAAACATGCGTAGGATAAGAAGTGAGAGAATTTGACTTGTGTCACATGATCATCAACAAATCATAGTTGACACACCAAGATCACATGTGTTATATTGGACTTGTTTAGTGTAACTTCTTTTATAACTTATTTAATTTTAGGAATCTTTTAGTGCATATTTCAATTATCGGATTATCGGATTGACTTAAAATTTTTCATTAATGGCCCTGCTAATCATTGGAAAATAAGTAGATACTTTAAGATGTCATTGGACTTGTTTAATGTATGTTCTTAGAAATTAAAAATTGATATTCAGAAGTTAAAAACACTATTTTCCCCTAATTTTTAAATAATCAATTTTTTATTAAAATTTATTGAAACTATTTTACCTAATAAGCATAAATTGCATCAAATAGTCTGACACAAACTTTTAAAATAATTTTTTTGAGAAATTACAAAAAAAAAAAAAAAATTCATGGTTTAACACTTACAACAAAATAAACCCCAATTTTTAATTTTATCAATTTAAACTCTAAATATTTTATTTTATTTTCAATTTAAACCATCTGCCTATTTCCATTAAGTAAAATTGATGAAAAAAATATATTTTATTCATTAAACTTAACAAATCAAATGAAAAAAAATTAGGATTTAAGCTGACAAAATTAAAAACTCAAAATTTATTTTGTTGCAAGGGTCAAACTTTGGAGTTTTCTTAAAAAAATTTCTCTAATGTTTTTATAAGCAACTCTAATAAGTTACACCGAATAGCTTCAATTGTTGATTTGGTACTCTTGATCAATAAAAAATTATAGCACACATTAATTGAGTTATTCTTTATTTCTTAGCTACTTAATAAAAGTGGGTTATTATGTTTCACCCAAATTTTTTTTTTTTTGAGGGAATTATAAAAAATAAAAAATAAAAACTAGGTTTAAACCTTGTAACAAAATAAATTATGAATTTTTAATTTTATCAATTTAAACCCTAACCTTTTGATTTGTTTTCAATTTAAACTATTTGTCTATTTTCATTAAATAAAATCGATAGAATACTAGATATTTTAGTTATAAAATTTAATGAAAATGATATTTAGACATTTTATGTATGCTTATATTGAGTTTAATAACTAAAATACTATTTTTTTCGTAAAAAAAAAAAAATTCATGGTTTAACCCTTACAACAAATGAAACCTCAGTTTTTAATTTTATCAATTTAAACTCTAAATATTTTATTTTATTTTTAATTTAAACCATCTGCCTATTTCCATTAAATAAAATTGATGAAAAAAATATATTTTATTCATCAAACTTAACAAATCAAATGAAAAAAAATTAGGATTTAAGTTGACAAAATTAAAAACTCAAGATTTATTTTGTTGCAAGGGTCAAACTTTGGAGTTTTATTTGTTTCAGAAAATTTTACTTTATTGTTTTCCGTATTTTTTTTTGTTTTTACTGAATTTTTTTAATATTTTAAGCAATTGTTTTTTTTAATTTTTAGACACACTTAACATAAATATACATAAAAGTATAATTTTTGTGAAAAAAATCTTTTAAAAATTAACTAAATATCAAAAATACAAAAAAAAAAAACTATAATTCAATATATTTTTCATATTTTTATGTATTTAGTAATTTTTAGAAATATTTTTTCACAAATTTTTTACTTTTAAGATACATTTAAGTAAGGTGCATTTAAAAAAGTACAAAAATGCTTAAAATTTTAAAGGGCAAATTACATATACCTCCCTCGAGATATAGCTAAATTACAGATACCCCTAAGGTTTCGAAAATTATAGATACCCCCTGAGGTTTATATTTTCATAACAAATTGCCCCATGATGTTTATATTTTTATAACAATTTGCCCCCTAATTTGTTATGCAAATAGTACCTTCAGGGGGATATCTGTAATTTCTCAAATCTCGGGAGGTATTTGTAATTTTTCTAAACCTTGAGGGGTATATGTAATTTGCCCAATTTTTAAAAATATTCACTAAAAATAAAAAACACGAAAAATAAAAAATTCAATTTACAAAAAACTTAATCTAAAAAACTCAAACCAAACACACACATTAATTTTCTCTGATGTTTTTTTAAGCAAGTATAGTAAGTTACATCGAATAGCTTCAATTGTTGATGTGGTACTCTTGATCAACAAAAAATTATAGCATACATTAATTGAGTTATTCTTTATTTCTTAATTACTTAATAAAAGTGAGTCATTATATTTCACCCAAAATTTTTTTTTGGAGGAATTATATAAAAAAAAAAGAAACTCTAGATATTTTTAATTTTATCAATTTAAATCTTAAACTTTTGATTTGTTTTCAATTTAAACTATTTATCTATTTTCGTTAAATAAAATCAATAGAATACTAGATATTTTAGTTATAAAACTCAATGAAAATGGTATTTAGACATTTTATGTATGCTTATATTGAGCTTAATAATTAAAATATTATTTTTTCGTCAATTTTACTTAATTATAATAGATAAATAATTTAAATTAAAAAAATTAAATTTAAATTGATAAAATTAAAAATTTATTTTATTATAAAACTAAAATTTTAAAATTGTTTTATAATTATCTCAATTTATTTATGTTTTTTAAATAATATCACATGATTCTCCGGAACTATTGAATGATTACTCCTAATTCTTTAGGGTGGTGCAAAGTCATCATGCTATCTGCATTTCCAAAGTTTAGCTAACAGTGGTATTTGTTGGCGAAAAAATAAGCTTTTGTTTGGGGGTGGTTTGATTTTTTAGTTTTTTTATTATTTTAGTTTGAGATTAAAAAATTTGGTTTGGAAAGGAGTTTTGACTTTTTTTAATTTTTTTGTAAAAGAAAGAATGTAATGATTATATGTTGAATGTGATGTTTTGTCTTATTGAGTTAAAAAGTTTATTTTATTTTTTGTGACTAAAATAGCTAAAAAAAGCCTCAATCTTGCCTTTCCAAACGAAGGCTAATATTAAAACTAAATTAAGAG